GAATCCTCCTTGTTCTGCAGCTCCATTTAATAAATCCTGCTGGCATACCTTTTTTTTTTTTTTATAATTAATTACAAAAATCATTTTAAAGTACTCCAGCTGGTTTTTCTTTAGCTACAGGAGGCTAAATTCAGAGCAGGTGGAGAGGAGGGTGTACCCTGCAGGTAGCCCCCCCCCATGTTTCTCTCCTCCTTCCCTCAATTCTATTTTTAAGCAAAATTTTCCCCTGCTTATTGCTATCATTAATCATGCATACAGCACCGGGTGCTGTGGCAAAGGATTTATACAGCTCTATAAATGTACACAGACCTATATTTTTCAAACAGGGATACTGAAGGGAAAGGCATCTAAATTCAGATTATTTTCTAGGCACCCAAATAAATGGTTGGGTTTCGGTAACTCCACGCACCCCTCGGGCTCTGTCAGAGTGGGTGAGCAGAGAGATCTATTACCCCATGCTAATGGCAGAGGCCCATTAGCTCTAAAAATAAGACCACTTATTCACATCTAACTATTGATTTCATGATTAGGTTTTAAAAACCTCCAAGCAAGATGACCTGGGCTCGCCTCCCACTGCGGGCAGCTGGGTGAGAACACTCACCAAAACTACCCTGCTATTTTAACAGGCCACACTTCTCCAAAACCACCAAACATCCTTTTTTTTCCCCTCCCCATTTTCATCTTTGCCAGCCCCTCTTGCCCAGCTGAACAGCCAGAAGCTGAGGTCTCAGGTTTGAGGAGTTTTAGTGCTCTACCAGCACCAAAATCCAGCTGCCCGTGCTGGTGCTGGCAGGATCTGCTGGTGCTGCTCTTCTGCCTTTGGCTTTTTTTTTTAATTATTAAGAACTTGGGCTGAAATAATGATCTGGAAAACTTATTTCCATTCCTAGAGGATGAAGATCATAAAAGAAACGTGTGGTTCATGTTATTTTGGACACAGGAACAACTGCCTTGAATCCCATAATTGTAATAACGTGTAAAAAGACAAGACAAATGATTTTTGGTCGTTTCAGCTGCAAATTGGGTTACCCCACAGGGCACTGGAGAAGCAAATCTTAGAAACTCTTTCTTGACTATATGAACGTGCTCATAAAAATAGCAAATTTAGTGGTCTCAGGAGAAGCAGAGTAGGATTTATCAAGTCTAACTCAACGAGGCTTAAATTAAGTTGACGGTCTCCGTTTGGTTTGGCTCAGTGTGATCCCAGCTCAGTCTATTGTTCTGTGTGTAATTGCTTTTCACTTATTTCAAATCGGATGCTTGGGAGCAAAAAAAAAACCCAAGGATTCCAAAACAGTTACTGAAAATCAGTATTTCTGCTATTCTTAGAAAATTTTCAAGCTGGGCTCCTTTTACCAAAGGATAGATTTGTCTGTGAAAATCATCTCTCCCTCCTCCGCCTCACACACAAATACACTGATAAAACAAGCTGCTGGGATGGGTGTAAAACAGCAGAAATGGTTCAATCATCCATTGAAATGAAAAAGAATTAAAATGACCATAAAATCAATCAACATATTTCTGTTTGACAGAGGTGTGTCAGACCGTGCCCCTCCTTAGGGGTCGGGGAGCTAATCCCTGTCCCTGCTCCCCCTGCACAAGAAAACCCCTAAATCTTCCCCAAATTCCCATCTCCTTTCTTTACAGCAGAGGTTGTGGGGCTCTGGCACAGTGATGTAAGCCCCACTGCAGCACGCTCTGGGGCTGACTTGGCCACAGGAGATGGACAGTGGCCACCAGGCACCTCTTGACTCATGAGCCAGGACAATAAGAGTCTCTGGACTCGAAATGCAAAACCCCTTTTCAGTTCCTAAACTGAAGAAGTGTGTGGCATGCCAGGGAGTGGAACTAAGTACCCTCACTGCCTCCTCCTAAGAGCACAAATCTCCTTTAGAATCCAACTGAGCAAACATGTTTTTTGGGTTTTCTTTTGTCTTTTCTTGTCTTATCATTGCTTGGTCCTGAAGTTGGGGCCCTTGCCAGTATGCCTGCTCCCTCCTCAATTCCTTTCAGGCTGGATTTTGCCCAAATTCACCAAGCCTAACCCCTTGGGGTTTTTTCCCTCAGTGTGATAACCAACCAGCCTCTGGTACCTGAAGAGTTTCCCATCCCAGCAGTCTGGCTCTCCATCCCACCAGAATAAAACTAGCAGATGGAGCAAGAGGGATGCGGATGCTCAGGGATGGAAAGCTGCAGAGCTGATGCTCTGCTTTACACCACCCAAAAATCCAGCCCAAGGATTTTTATGGCTGTATATTTGGTAAGGTAGGTGGTAATTACAGGGCTACAGTGATTTCAAGGCTGTCGTGGCAGATGCCTTATTCACGGCCTCCTTCCTCCTGCCCAGCCAGAGCAGAGGGAGGGCAGAGGATGCTGCATTTCTAGTTCAGAATGAAATGAAAATTACTCAGTGTGGGGGAAAAAAAAAGAAATAGGGGGATGGATATAAACCAAATTTCAGTGGCATGATATTAATGCAGTGTAAAGTGATTTATATTTTCTGGGCTCCTATCACACACGTCTGTTAAAAGTCGTTTGTATTTAAATGAGAGTAAAAAGGAAACTAATTCCACTCACTCTCCTCACTCCCCCCCCTTCTTGTCCCTGCAAAGAGAGCTGGTGCAGAGAATGACTTCATGTCTGTACTCTGAGTCCCCTAATTCAATCATGTCTTCCCCAAAATGGAAAAAAAAACACCAATGTATTTAGACAATCTCTGCTCCAGAGCAAAGCCTGTGGAGGTGGGGTGAGAGGTAGAGACACTGCTGGAGGATGGAGCCCCCACGTTTAAGGGTGTTTATGAATTTAGAATAGCTTTACTTATTGAAAAAGAGGAATTTGTGGTTTTATCTATGTGTTTTGAATCTCAAGTTAGGCTAAAGTTGGTCTTGCTGCTTCTGAATGGATTCAAGCACCTCTAATAACTACTGTTAATTAAAAAGCACTTTGTGAAGGATTCAGGTTCAGAGAGACCCCTTGAAATATCTCAGGGGAGAAATTTCCAGGGTTCAGCTGGAAAGCTGCTGCCTGCAGAGCTGACTCTGCTGTTCCTGGCATCCTCCTCTCCCAACAGCCAGTGGTGGGAGCCTCTTGCTGGTCCCTCACTCCTTGCACCAGGGACCATATCCCGGGATGTGAGCGGGTGAGATGATGCTCTTTGGGCAACCCCTTCGTGCAGAAGCAACCAGGGCATCAGCCCAGCAACTGCTTGTGGTGGAACATTGCCCACGTCCTGCCCAAGGACCTTGCTTTGGGGAGAAAATCCAGCAAAGTGAGCAGAGAAAGCAGCTCTTACCCGGGTGCCCTTCTCGCCGTTGGCTCCGGGAAATCCTGGGAACCCAATTGAGCCCTTGGGGAAGAGAGAAAAGAGAGAGCAAGTGGTTCAAGGTGCTGAAAGGGGCAGCTCTGCCCCACCATGCCAGGCACTCCCTGGCCTGGCATAACCCCCAGTGGGCACCCGTGGACATCTACAGCTCCCAACATCTTTTTTTTAAACCTTCCTTTCACAAAAACAAAACCCCAAACGACCTCGGAAACTCAATTTCATCCCAAAATAACACCATAAAAAAGAAGCCCATGCCTCATTAGGAGTCTCTGCAAAGACCCAAGCCCACAGTTCCAGAGGGTGCCTGGGGAACAGGCAGGTTTTGGTTTTTTTTAGCTCCTAAGTCGCCGTGTTGCACATGAAAATTTAACTCCTGGCTTGTTCCTTTCTAATGTGAGCGCCTGGAGAATAGCTGCTGCTGTTTTTAAATCATAAATTAGTCAAAGAAATGCAAAAAAAAAATATATAAAAACACCCCAAATATAAAATGTAAATTAAAAAACTATCAACACCACAACCAGGGAACAATCTCTTGCAGATAATGTCTCCAGTGTTAAACAAGGCTGGTTTTTTTTCCAAGCAGTGAACAGAAATAATAAAATATGATTCTTAAAACAAAAAGTTAACAGAAACATAAGTTCCCAAGGCCCCCAGGGTGTGTAAAAACTGGGCTGCAGGCTGAGTCTATATAGTGGAATTCACAGTTCTAATTTAGAAAGAACATTCAAAAATGGCCCAAACGAAGGTGGGCGTGTAGATAAGATACAAAGGATCTTTGCAAATCTGCAAATAGCAGTTCTATTTTAATTCAGGAAAACCCTGCTTCATTAGCTATTCTCCTTAATTAGTTAATGCTAGCGTGGATCTTTGAAGATATGAAACATAATAAAAGGAGAAGGGATTATTATGCCTGTTACTAAGCTGAAAGCTCCCGTGGAGCTGCTCATACCCATCACCACAGCAGCCTGCACGGCCTCCAGCCCCTGTCCCCTGCATCTCTTCCCACCCCTTTGCACAAGGCTGAAGTGATGCAAGAACCAGTCCCTGATTCCCAGCAGCTAAGAGCTGGGAGCTATTTTTCCCCATCTATAACTTCATCCTGCCTGGGTGGGTAGGAGGGACCACAGGGTAGGAGATGCTGGTTCCACCTTGTACCATCAGCAGGGGGCTGAGTCCTCTGTAGGACCCCACCATCAGAGCTGGGCTGGCACCCACGGGGCTCCCCAGCACACCCCACACCTCTCAAGGACCAAACCCAACCGAGTTACCTTTGGGCCCTGCCTGCCTGGGTAGCCAGGCAGTCCTGGCACGCCAAGTTTCCCCTGAAACACACAAAAAAAAAGCATTAATTTGGGCAAAAGAAACCTTTTGAGCAGCTTCAGATGTGCACCAGCAGAAAGGGGAGATGCCAAGTGCATGGAAGTCAAGAGCACAGCAGACATGATGTGATGGGTGGAATAAAGCTGTCGGGGCACTGGACCATCCTCTGCCCTCCCTGGGGGGTTGATGCAGGGTGAGGACTCTAAATCTGTTGCGACCTGGTGGGGAATGGTTGTTCTTGCTCTCTTTTCCTTTTTTTTTTTTCAACTAGATGCACCCAGATGTTAGACCAGGGGTCCCTGATCCTTTCAATTTCACCATTTTTTTTCCCCTCTGGTCTTTTTTTCAAGACATTTCCCCCAAGCAGATAACCCCAAGGAGACTAATGTCTCCATGTGCTCAAGTCACCACGGCAGGAAAATCATCTCCCCTGGGTCTCCTCTGGCCTGGAGTTGGAGGTTGAACTTGTGTTGAACTCAGACCAGCCTTCACACAGAGCTCCCACAGCTCCTCTTCACCCTTCTGTCCTAAAACTGGGCACTGCCCAGACCACCCACCTGAGACAGCAGAAGAACAGTGGGGTTTACTGCAAAACATCCCTGGGCAATTCCATCCTTAAGACTCACCTTCTCTCCAGCAGGACCAAGAGGACCAGGATCTCCATTGGGGCCTGAGCGACCCTTGGGACCTTCAGGACCATCTTCACCCCGGGGGCCAGGAGGTCCAATTTCCCCCTGTTAACCACAAGACAAGTGTTGACAATGCAGGTAGGTCCTAGACCCCACATTTGCTGGCAGCTAGACCCTCACGGCTGCAATCAGATACTCCATGGAGCTACTAATACAGCTCTTGGAGGAAGCTGGTCTTCACCACGAGGCTCAGACAAGACTGTAAATCACAGAGTGCTATTAAAGCACCAAGCTTTCATTCACACAGCCTGACCATTATCTCCAACAACAGCCATTTTTT